AAGTGAAGTGGTGTGTTCCCTTCACAGTCCGGTACGGACATGTCAGCACCACAACCTGACAGGACTTGTAAGCACTCAAAGTTGCCCAGCTCAGCAGCTCTGAATAGTACACACACACACACACACACACACACACACACACACACACGCGCGCGCGCACGCACGCATGTACACACACACACACACACACGTGTGCATACAGAAAGAAGTCAATGGGGAGGGGAACATACAACGGATGTCAGACGTATTTTCATCAAAGCTTGAACAAATGACAAATGCTTCTTCACTCCAGTGGTTCTCTGACACTGTTGATCAGCAATGTATCTCCTACGCAAACCAATCCAGTGTTTAAATCAGGGTTGACTGGAAATGACAAGTGTGTGTCTGATCCACCAGGCATGGGTGTTTGCAGGGGGAAAACCCCCATTCAGTCCTTGCTGCAGTGGACCTCTGCGGCATGGCCAGACTTTGCAGAGTGGTTCCCTTGACAACGTCCTTCAAATAACCGTTCCTGTATTGTAACTAGAGTAAAATGTGTAACTAACGACCACCCGGCCCTTGGGGCCAGAGAAAGCGGTCTTAAGTGGCAGGTGGTCCTTAGTTAGAGGTTTGCACCGGACAACCATAATGAATGTGAGACCGTCCGTGCCTGGCGAAGTGGTCTGTAGTAGCAGGCTGGTCGCTAGTCACTGTGGTCTTTAGTTACAAGTTTTACTGTAGTAGCAGGCTGGTCGCCAGTCACGGTGGTCGCTAGTCACGGTGGTCTGTAGTAGCAGGCTGGTCGCCAGTCACGGTGGTCTTTAGTTACACTGGTTTTACTGCATCTAAATGTACGTGTACATAGAGTGAAGTTTGAGTGAAGTTTGGACGTTACACCAAACAGTGCAGCCATCACTCACTTGTGTACGGCCGTCTGTCCCTTCGTGTCGGCCAGATCCACATTAGCTCCGGCAGCACAGAGGAGTCGCACACCCTCCACCACACCAGACTCTACGGCAAGCATCAACGCTGTCTTGCAGTCCTCCTACATACATTGTGATTACCCAGCCGACACCACAAACACAGATAGAGAGATGATATCATAGAGATATGCACGGACATCATCCTCATAGTACGTATGAACACACGCACACACACACACCATGTAGAGGCGACGGTTTAAAATAGGACATAGGTTGCAAACCTGAACGGTCTCAATATTCACTTTCTCTCTTGGTATTTTGATTAGAAAACGTATGTCACAGTGAGACTTCGATGTGTTTTACTCAGCGCCAAAATTCCATGGCTCTGCGATGAACAGAAGCGCCATACCAAGCATTTGAGTTTTTGACGTGTTGCTTCCCACTGCGACTTGAGTTTACGACTTTCGAAAAATCAACTTCTTGTCGCAGGTAAACAGCGGCTTGCCTCTCGCCCATAAGCACCGCATACCAATAAAAACTAATGGAAGCACACACAAGGCTTATTGTTACTCTGTACTGGCAGTCGTGGAGCGATAGCAATTACCTAATTTCAGACCCAGAGTGAATTTGACGTGCACTCTAAAACATGTCCGGTTTGGAGCCACCTGATTTGAAGCAAAAAATTGGGCGACTTGGAGGCAATGGGTCAACACAAAGGAGTGGCTCAGTTCGATTGACTCTGGCCTCAGAGCAAACTTCAACATGCCAGTTTCCTTCCACAAACATATTTCGAGTGAACAATCAACGCTGATGATCGGTTCGGGTCTATACAAATTTGGCTGTCAAGCCGTTCCGGTATCGAACCGTCGCCTCTACCATGTATACGCAGGAGAAGCACGCAAATCTGCAAATGCGCTGGATGTGCACTCACACATTTTCTCTTGATAGCAACGATAGCGGATCTGATTCTGAATGAAACAGACTAAGACAAGCGCCAGATAACTGTCTAATCCACACAACTGGCGAAGCCATGTGAATCGACCTAGCAAGGTCTAGTGTCCTACCATTCTAGCAAGGTCCGTATCAGCTCCACACTCAACAAGTGTGCTGACCACCTCTTCATAGCCTTCAGACGCTGCATGGCACAATACTGACATGCCACTCGAATCCTACAATACACATGAGAGAGGGGAGAGAGAGAGAGAGAGAGACACACACACACACACACACACACACACACACACACACACAAGCAGAGAAACAGAGAGAGAGAGAGAGAGAGAGAGAGAGAGAGAGAGAGAGAGAGAGAGAGAGAGAGAGAGAGAGAGAGAGAGAGAGAGAGAGAGAGAGAGAGAGAGAGAGAGAGAGAGAGAGAGAGAGAGAGAGAGAGAGAGAGAGAGAGAGAGAGAGAGAGAGAGAGAGAGAGAGAGAGAGAGAGAGAGAGAGAGAGAGAGAGAGAGAGTGACAGGGAGTGATAGAGAGAGACAGAGCCTAATCAGTTGAGAATTAGAGATGAAGCAAATGAATCCAGAACAGTGCACTGTAATACATCTGCATCTTTGGAGAGATGGTGTGCTGTGACAAATAGCGCCAACAGCAACCTATCAGAAGTGCTACATGTGTATATCATGTGTATATCATGTGTTATAGGATTGGATGAGGGAGAGCAAAAAGAAAAGGCACCAGTTTCAGAACAACAGACATAGCTCTAGGTTAGAAGCCACTTGTCACTTCAGGTGACGAGTTTCTGGGTCTTGATGTGCTGTGTCTGCACATAGCATGGGTTTTCATCTGGAGATGCAAACTGGCTCACATATTCACTTCATTGTACCAGGATACAGGCTGGCTGCTTGCTAAGGTGGCACGGCACCGATGCACTACTCTTGCCCCCAGGTCATCGGTGAGGTGTCAGTGCAGCATGCTCTGTGTACGTATTGTAGTGTTCTGACTTTCATTGCATCATTCCCACGTGTCTACTGGTGTAGCCAGTGGGTTGGAATGTTGATCCACAAAAAGCCATACATCAATGCCACCCCCAGCAGTAGCAGTAGCAGTAGTTTCAAAAGCAGCACTGCAATCACAACTATCAACACCACCACCACCAGAAATACCACCAACAACAACACCAATAGGAGCAGCACCAACACCATTACCAACACCATTACCAACACCAGCAACAACACCAGCAACAACACCAGCACCGTCAGCAGCATTAGGAGCAGCACTGTCACCACCATCAACACTACCGGCAGCAACACTAAAGCACCACCAACGGCAGCAGTAGCAGCAGTAGCAGGATTAGGAGCTCCACCATTGCCAACATCACCACCAACAGCAGTAGCAGCAGCAGCAGCAGCAGCAGCAGCATTAGAAGCAGCACCACCCCCAACACCAGCACCAGCACCAACACTAGCAAGATGCTGTGACTCACCAAGGCATTGCAATCCGCACCACTCTTCACCAGAGTTTCAATCATGTGGCAGTGGGTTGGCGTTGGACAAACTGCCTGGAAAAGGGCTGTCTTGCCTTCTTTATCCTGAGCTGTACGCAGCAATAAACAAAACCAAAAATAGGAGTTCCAAACACGCCATCACGGCAGTTTAGTCCCGGCATCATGGTTCCACTGTCTAGCACACACAACTGGCAAAGCCATGTGAATCGACCCTGACCCCCCCCCCCCCCCCCTCTCCCATTGCAGTCCTGGTCTACACCACAGGAAGCACATTTGAATAGGACGCACACGTTCGCCCGCATCTCCCCCCCCCCCCCCCCCACACACACGCACCCCCCCCCCCCCCCCACATACACGCACCCCCCCCCCCACACACACACACGCACCCCCCCCCCCCCCTGCCAACACACACACGCCCCCCCCCCACACGCACCCCCCCCCCCCCACACACACACACGCACCCCCCCCCCCCCACACACACGCACCCCCCCCCCCACACACACACACGCACACCCCCCCCCCACACACACACACGCACCCCCCCCCCCACACAAACACACACAGTACACAGTGTAGCATTACCTGTAACACTAGCTCCTCGCTCCAGCAGCATACTGACAACGTGCTGATGGCCGTTGTGAATCGCGTACATCATTGGTGTGCAGCCGCTATGGTCTGGTTCGTCCGGTAAGCTAGCGCACTCGTTCAGCAAGAACGTACACATCTCAATGTTACCTGCAGTAGCCGCTATATGCATGCACGTATGACCTGTGTCTGAAGCTGCACAAAAACATAGTGTAGAAAGAAGAGTATGACAATGAAATAGAATGCTGAAGGCAACCTTGCTAAATTCACCCACACCTGCTCAACTACAGCTGAGGGGTATAAACACGGCCGGTCTAGGCAGCTCGAGGTAATATGGTCAATGCACAAATGTGCAGAGTAGAGCTGAGGGGGATATGTATTTAAAAATTAAATCTAACGGATCCGCGACGTGCCCGGGTAGGTGGGAAGCATCTGTGCAATGCATCCGCCCCATATGCAGGAATCAGATGCAGAGTCTAACTAGTTGGGGAGGATAGCTAAGGTTCACCAACCAGATGGGGGTGTTGCCTATCACTTCTACGGCTCGCGTGTGACTTGGTCAGAGTGACCATTCCTTATCCGTAAAAACCCGTAGCACTGCATGGATCAAGGCGCAGATACAGCTCACGAAGCGGTGGGAGGTGAGTGGATCAGACCCACCACCAAAGTGGTCAAAGACCCCCCCCCCCCCCCCCCCCCCACCTGCATCCATGTTACCCATGTGTCAGGCCATGAGTTCCAATCAACAGTGAGTAATGCAGTATGGTTGGGAAATGGCCGGGGGAGAGAGTGACTAGCCGCTACAGTATACAGAACGAACTCTGATCGCACTGCAATGGCATATTCTACAGTGCTGGCCAACGAAACCCAATTACACGCGTCAAGTACTCATCGGGGCGCTGTGCAGTCCCACAGCTGTCAACACTGGGCTCTGTGTTGGCTCAGGACGTTATCATGACTCACGCCCATGGCTCAGGACGTTATCATGACTCACGCCCATGACTCAGGACGTTATCATGACTCACGCCCATGACTCACGCCCATGACTCATGCCCATGACTCACGCCCATGACTCACGCCCATGACTCACGCCCATGACTCACACCCATGGCTGGATTTCATTGCCCAGTAGTGTACGTGCATGTCACAGCACGTCAATCATGTGGGAAGAAAGTGAAATGAAACAAACTTGAAAATCAAGTATTGGTGCTGGAGCACAATCACAATGGTGGATACTTGAAAAAGGACCTCATGCTTGCCAGGGCATGGTTCTTGAAAGGGATGGACATGTATTTACCCCTCCCTTCCCCTCAAATACACACACATACCCCCCCCCCCCCCCCCCCGGCCACTTGCATGCCCATACCCATCCCACATGCATGCAAACACCCCTCCTGCATGCACACAACCCTCCGGCATACATGCATACACCCATCTGGGATACATGCACCCCCCCCCCCCCCCCTCCCCCTGCCACATACATGCACACACCACTCCACGCATACATGCACACGCCCATCACACCATCCCGCATCCATACTCACACCCCGGCCCCTCCAGTCTCCACGCACACATGCACACACGGCCGTACCTTTTGTGTTGATCAAGTTAGGTACACCGTACTCCACAGACTTGCGAACGTCCTCGTAGTTGTTCAGGTTCACTGAGCGGAGGATCTTCTGCGTCTGCATCACTTCTAAACGTGCATACGGGTTCTTATAGGAAGACGGCTCGGGGAGAGGGATCTCCTCGATGTCGGTTTCTTGAGCCGACGCCATTCTGCCCAGAACGTGTGTGTGTGTGTGCGTGTGTGTGTGTGTGTGTGTGTGTATGTGTATGTGTGATGAGAGCCGGTCGCAGGTGTGCGTTGCGTCCTTCAGTGAGACCGCAATACCTTAGAAGATACCGCTGGAGGATGAAGGCAAACAACGACACACAAAACCAGTATGACAGATTCGAGCGGACACAGCGTCAAGCAAACCAATTCCAGAGACCGGGACTGAAGTTCTACACCCAACGCACAACCTGAGTTTGGGCGATTCGCCGGGGGTTTGAATGAATCACACAAGCTAGTGCAGCCAAGATTCCGATACCAAGAGTCAGTGTAATGCAATCCAGTCATGTACTGTGAGGGCATGATGCAGGATATACTGTAAAAGCCATTATTCTAACGAGGTGCATATATAACGATTCCCTAAAATTGACCAGTTTCCCTTTATTAAAGGTAACGATTCTCACTCATCCTCAACGCTCAATACCAACAATATGTATCGATTTCTGTCTAACATTTTCTGTTTTAACGACAGATTTCTCCTCGTTAATTCGTTAGAGTTAGCACTTCGTTTATATATACAGTCAACTTCGCTTATAACGACACTTGGCGGGGCATCAAAAAGGTGTCCTTATTCGCGAAGTGTCGTTATACCCGAAGTCTCATTATATGTATTACAGTGGGATGGGACTTTGCTCTGGGCATGGAAATTCTGTCGTTATTCGCGAATTGTCGTTATATCCGCAGTCGTTATTAGCGAAGTTGACTGTATATGGCTTTTACAGTACATGACTTGTGTGCAATGAAATCACTGGTAGGGGTGAAACGGTTACCCTTTAATTAAGGTTACAAGCGGGTACCTGGCTTAACGGGCGGGTTATCGAATCGGGTACCCTTTAGCAGCAAATCGTAACAGCTACTATACAATAGCCTTCCACATTTCGCGTGAGGACATGCAAAATCATGCAATTCACCGCAAGTACACTACATCGCGACAAGCGCTACATGCACACTTACCGCGCTACATGCGCACTTATCGCGCTACATGCGCACTTACCGCGCTACATGCGCACTTACCGCGCTACATGTAAAAAAAGTCAAAATTGTCATGTGTAGCGGGATCGAACAACCGACAACACATTCAAACAGTACATCAAACTGTACGGCTGTACACGCCAGCTATTAATACCGTGCCATGCCGTGCCGTGCCGTGCCGTGCCGTGCCGTCCTCGTACACGACTAACGGGTACTGGTTTGATAACGGGTCAGCAGCTAAACAAATGGGTAGTACCCGGATCACTCCTTTCACCCCTGGAAATCAGTCTGTTGCTGGGTAGTGACTAGTGTCCCACCATGCCACCACCATCACCATCACAGTACATGACGTAATTGTGTTGCATTACATTCTTGATATTGGACCCATGATGACTGGCTACTGCAGTTCAGTGCTGGTGCGAAATTCATACAATGAGAAAATTCTAGTTAAAAGTTTTTACCTGCCTGCAAAGCAGGTACTGAGGTAGTGCCCACTCGACGCCGCTTCTCTTCTTTGCTGCTCTGACGGTGTGCTTTGCATTCAAATCATCCACGACTCTAGCATAGCACACATTGATACCTCACTCCTCAGCCTCACATGACCGCCAACATCTAGGCGGTGTGAATCACCGGACACTTGCAACGTTGAAACACAGCGAGTAGCTCTGTGGTGGCCTGGATTCTGCTTCGTCGATCACTGCAACTTTCTCCCTGCGTGTGTGTGAAGATTTCTCTTGAACAGCAAAGCGAGTTACCGATCTACCGGCTTCAGACTCACGGTTCTCAACTATAATATCGAACCACCGTCGCTAGCATTCGTATTTGCTATAATTACACGACGGAATTCGTTTGCTCGCCACGTCCCGTCGCACCAAGCTGGCGATGGCGACAGATTCAGGAGTTCCGCCTTGCCGTCCACCGGTTACAAACACAGAGAGTCGCACCACCCGGCCGGTAACTTTAAAACGCTTGATTATGAATTTCAGCCTCGGCCTGCTCGCTAACGTACCCTCACAACTAACTAATTACTTGATGTGTTCCTAGAAAAAAGGCAGCTTGACTTTGACTTTGACTGTTTGAGGCCACAGATAAATCGTAAAGTGCTGATTGTGTTGGCATTTTCAAGCTTCTGAGTACTGTCCATCTCCGGCTAACACGCTAGTGTTGATCGGTCAGGCGATCAGTCGCTCAGATCAGGCCGTCAAACCCTCTTCGTGTGCGTGCACTGATGCAGCAGTCGTCCTGGTACCACTACCAGTGCATGCTTGCGTTGACTTGAGCCGGCCGCGCCATGGCATGGGCATTATGTCAACGCATTCGCATTTTGTTGTGGGAAACCCCTTTCTGCATCGCGTCCAGCGCGCTCTGCTCTGTCCGGGCAACGCCTTCACATAGCAACAAGGATTTTGCCAATCCGCGTGATTTTATTCTGACTGAGTGCGAGGGCATACATGTAATCTATGCAGTCTAGTAGTACTAGTAGGTCTACGTAATGTCGTAAAGATTTTATTGTAAGTCTCGTACTCGTAGACCATGTACTTGAGGATGTAGACGGGTCTACTGATCATGAATGTAGCGCATCGCGCTAGCTGGGTCGACCCGGCCCAGTCTGGGACCCAGTCTGGGAATCTAATCACCGCGCGCTACTACGGTACTACTACCACTACTAGTACTACTGGTACTACTGGTACTACTGGCAGTACTGCCACTACTTTTTTTTTTTTTTTTTTTTTTTTTTGTAGTAAAAGCCTCTTTTACGGGCGAACAAAACACAATTTGCCATGGCGGAGGATTGAAAACAAATCACATAATGATGACGTCGCATGTGATCAGACAGCAAGAGAAGCATAGCGTAGTCCGCACAATCACGGGGCAAGGCTCAACGGGACACCCTAGCCTCCACGACAGCCAGGGAGGCACAGCCATCCATTGGAGGCTGCCAAACTCGGCGAGCCCCACGCAGACACATGACACTCGAACGCAGCAGGGCGAAAGACAGCCTGCAGCGGAGGTGGGCAATTAGCACAGAATACGCCTCCCTCCCACGTAGCGACTGGAGATGTGCAATCCGGCTCACCAGTGCAGCGGCACCCTTGCCGCATCCTCCGGTGGAAGAGAGCACAAAGGGGAGAAAAGTGGATCGCTCCACTTCTCGGACTCTCCGATCATATCGACGCCGTTTCTCTTGCTCATGGTGCCGGTAGCAGCCAGAGAGAGAGGAGGTGCGGTTCAAAGACGCATAAGGGTTGAACACCCGTACATCAATAAAAGTGCGTTCGAACCGACCCCCCCCCCCCCCCCCCAAACTCCACTGGCCACCACATCCAAACGAGCTTGATCCTCGGTTGATGCTGACCGGAGCTGAAACTGCTCCCCAGTCAGGGGTTGGAGATGTGGCTCCACTGCGACGTTGTGGGCGACACCCTTCAATGAGCTTGCCAGTATGTCGCACACCTCGTTGTGGCGGATCGAGGGGAACCCACCGAAAGGACAGGACAAGGCGTGAGCAGTGGTGAATGCCTTCTCGCAAACACAGGTGGTGGGCAGGCGAGAAGGCGTCCAACCGTAACGGAGGCAGAGGCCATCCCGGAATTCCCCCTTCGACAAAGCGAAGCCATGGCGAGCGATGGGTCGGCAGGTAAGCCAGCTTGATGCTCCCTTCTCCTCTGCCAGACTGATAGCGAGATCGAGTTCGCTGTGTTCGGTGCGGAACGTATCGGCAGCTATCTTCATTGCATTTCTGGCCTCAGAGCGAGCCTGACTCTTGGCCCTGCGGACACAGGCAAGAGCATCATCGAGGTGCTCTTCTTGCGCCATGATCTTGTCGTACAGCGCAGTGGTGATTAGCCTGGAGGTGCCGTACTGTGAGCCAAAAGTGGCAGGGTTGGCCACGCCGAGGCCTCCATGCCGGCAGGGGAAAGTGAGCAAAATGCGTTCAGCTTCACTGGGCGCCGTCCGTCCACTAATGGCAGGGATTAGGCGGCGGTGGATGATGTCCTCCAGGGGTTCCAGCTGTTCTGCAGCACCATCGAGAACCCGACACAGGAAGGACCACCGGTGTTGGAGGCTGTTCACCAGTGCAGAGTAAGCTGCTTGAGGCTGTGACCGGGCGAAATCTGTCAGCTTGCACAGCTCCTGCGACCAGGTGGCCACCTTGGAAGCCACAAACTCCTGCACAAACTGATCAGTTCCGATGGCTGATCCAAGGTGACGGCACCCGTCAGTGGTGATAGACACACCCGTGCCGGCGAAGATGGTCTCGGCTGCCTCTAGCTTGTCCCGCTTGACGACGAGGACGGACTTGCTGGGGTTAATGAAATACCCGAACGCCGGCCCATCCCCGACGAGTCGGTCCCACCACTGGCGGAGAGGGTTGAGCCCGCCACCCGCGGACGAGTCATCCGCATACCAGCTCTGGCGTGTTCCTGGGGTTGCCACTCTGCGCACCAGGGGAGTACCCCCAAAGCGTACATCGGCATAGCAAGAGGATCTCCCTGCGTTGTGCCTTCTCGCGATAGGAGGCACTCCCCGTCCACGAATAGGCGGGCCGGCTGACGGTAGCAGTTTACGATAGCGGGTGTGATGGCTGGACAGAGGTGCGCTACGTTGTGCATACATGCTTCTCTGTTAAGGCGATTGAACGCATTGGATGCATCCGCCATAAGCACAGCGTCAACGTCTTCTTCATGGAACGTGTCGTGCATGGCGTGAATGGCCGCCTCAATGCCACATTCCTGGCCTCCGCACATCTGCAGTGACCCTGTCGCCTCACGAACAGAGTCCCCCGCCACGCTCAGAATAGCCTTGCCGATGATACGACGGACGGTTTCGCCGATGCCTATTGGGCGCACACCCGGTTTCTTATCTAGAGGGATAAGCCGGCATGCCGTGTAGGCTTCCATCGATGCTGGGTTGACGTACTGAGTGGCGATTCGCCGGGCACAGCTGGCGAGAGCATCACATAGGTCGTCTGAAATGTCCCCAAACGCTGTGCACATACGCCTCCAGCCATCTGCGTCCATCCCAGACGGCCCTGCAGAACCGGTGGTATGCAGTGCAGCTTGGCGCACAGCGGTCCTGTCCAGCTTGGTGAAGAGCACTGGGTGGGGCTGTGCTGGGGGTTGCCCTGGGAGGAGAGCCGCTGCTGTGACTGCCTCGCCCTGTGGGTGCTTACTGCGCAGCACATCAAGCACGGTCGTTTCTCCAATGGTGTCGTCAAGATCAAGAACTCCACCACCCATGTCGGGGGAGAGTTGACGAGTGACTGCCGAGAGCCTGCCACGCTCAATGTCAGACGCAAATCTGCGTGCCGGGTCGACCGTGTGTCCCTCGTGCCGTGCGTTTCGCCTGCGGGCCTTGACGATCTGGTCTTGGATAGTCACGGATTCTTGGAGTAGCACCTGTACGTCTCCGGAATCCCACGAGGCAATGCGGCGCCCGATGCAAACCTTGTGAGCTGCTGCCGCTACGGTCCCGCCAGGTTTCTGAAGGAGCAACTGCTGCATTACCATCGCCGTTTTCAGGGCGTAGTCAGCTGCACCTGAGGAGTTGTTACCAAAGGCGTGGAAGTGTGAACTCAGCATACGGATAAAGGTTCGGCCCGTGCTGCCCATTGGTACGTCCAACAGGTTTGGGGCAAAATGAACTACCTTCTCGTACGCCTCGGATATCCGGTTGGAAAACGTGGGACCGTCCAGATCTCCCATTCCGAGTGTGGGGTCCCGCAGGGGAGGATGGGGTGGCAGGTCCGGGATAACAGGATCAGCGACGTCCATTGTTGCTTGGGACATGTTGAGTGTGGCTAGCAGTCGGACATCGTGTGGATCTACGTCCCCACTCGCTGGTAGGTCAACTAGGTCCACTACGGTCACGGTGGCACGCTCCGCGTCCGCTGGCTCAGGCGCTTGGCTGGCAGGTTCGACATCAGCACTGCCATTGGTGTCAGGCGAGTTCGGCACCTGTACGGGTACTACAGTGCTACTGCTAGTACTGGCACCGGGAGGCGAGCTCGACCGGGCTGTGTGAGGTGGTCCGTGACGACCGTCTCTGCACTCTGCAAGTAGGGTGGTGGTGAGTACTGCGGCTGCACTCTCGGTGACTACTGGCTTGTGCACATTCGAGACATTTGGTACGGGTACGGAGTCTAGTGTCGTATCGGAAACTGCGGTTGCTCTGTTGTCGGAGCTTGTCGACGTCCTGCTGACAGTATACTAGTAGAGAGGTTCCGGGGTACGATTTTCCGTGCCAAAATCCGTATGGCCGCTACGGATTTTTTCCAGGCGTGCTCCATACGATTTTTCGGCACGAGAATCCGTGTAGACTGGCTTTCATACGAACCATGCTTCGTATGGAGATTTTGCGTCATCGGGTGCAGAAAGATTTTTCGCGTGCAAATTTGGTACGAGAAACATCGATTTTTCGCGGGAAGTTTTGATTTCGGAACAAATTTTCAAAATAAAAAGGCATAGCGCGGGAATGTGACGTGTTTGCGATCGTAACCTAGGCAATGCCGGCAAACACATAAGTTCCGTACCCCGGAACTTTTCACTGCTCGAAAACGACGTATAAAAAATCCGTAGAGCCTCCACGGATTTTGGCACGAAAAATCGTACTCCGGAACCTCCCTAATACTAGTGTGGTCCGTAACCGTATCACGAACAGGGAGCCCTACACATATGTGTAGGGCTCCCTGATCACGAACAGAGTTTCGTGCAGTTCCTACGGGTACGGTAGCTGTAGTCGTCGACGACGGTTGAGAAGACGGTTGGGATGTCGGGGAGCCGTTCCGGCATTTGTTCTTCTTCGAGGGGATACAATTCCGACACTTCCGACCCTCCTTCGTGCAATCGCACCGAACACAGGTGCCGTTGCCGTTGCACCGGCAACAAGTGGCACTCTGCATCGGCTGGTTTGCAGGAGAGGCACGTTGGAGTTGGAAAATCCACTGAAGACTACAGAGCTCGAGAAACGCGTACCTACGTCAACATTCAAAAAAAACCTCGTGCTGAAATAGCTCGTGCAGGTACTACTAGGCACTAGACTTGCCCATAGTAGTACTACTACTAGTACATTGTAGTTCTTATCTCCCCTTTTCCTTTTCCACCTCGACTCCTCCTTGGTTTCCCTTTTTTTTTATAGCTATTCTCTTGCACCTTCTTGCACATGCAGCCTTGCACTGCTGCACATGCAGCCTTGCGCTGCTGCACATGCAGCCTTGCACTGCTGCACATATATGTACATGCAGCCTTGCGCTGCTGCACGTACAGGGAGGGAGCATTTTGATATCAAGTACATTGTAGATGAGTTACCACTCCCTGCTGTGTGTGTGTGTGTGTGTGTGTGTGTGTGTGTGTGTGTGTGTACGTGCGTGTGTGTGCGTGTGTGTGTGTGTGTGTGCCTTCAGCTTTGCAAGCTGTTGAATGGTGAAATCCCAGCACAAGTTGCTATGTCTACGCTGTTCGCCATCATCGCTTCCGCGATGGGCATGTCTGAGGTCTAGGCATATGCGGATAATGTCGGCAGAAAAATTGTCAGAATTCGGTACTTTTTCTGGTAAGTTTCATGCATGTTTGGTATGTGGATAAAGAAATGGAGCAGAATTCGAGGAATTGCCCGCCATAAGGTTTGTATGGTTCTGCCAATTTCACTGCTTTTCGAACAGAATCTGCCACCTTTTCGGGCATTATCCGCCTATGCCTACGAGATCTGAGGTGTGTGTGTGTGTGTGTGTGTGTGTGTGTGTGTGTATGTGTGTGTGTGTGCGTGGTGTGTATGTGTGTGTGTGTGCGGACCGGTGGGTGGGTGTGCATGTGCGTGTGTCCGTGCTGGTTATGATAGAGAATGGGGAAGCAAGGACTCCAAGGAGAGTGCTTGAGCATGAGGTGCGCGAGATCAGTTTCAACCCCCGGGCCCTTCGCCTTGCTTTAAAAATTGCGGGTGTCAACTTAACTGGTATTCGTGGACGAACGGGTCTACCTAGTACATACAGTACATGTACACCGGAGCCGGGTGTACCCAGTGTGCTGACAGTGCTGCTCAACACCATGGCGGAGGCAGAGCGTAATACAGAACAGAACAACAAGGACAATCAAGGCTTGTTTGCTGCGACTTGAAGTTTCAAGGCATGCTCTCGTGCGAGAGCATGAAACTTCAAGTCTCAGCAAACAAGCCTTGATTGTCCTTGTTGTTCTGTTGTGTAGGTGACGCCGCGCGAAATGGTGTGTTGGAGTGTTGATGTTGTTGTTGTTGTTGTTGTTGTTGTTGTTGTTGTTGTTGTTGTTGTTGTTGTTGTTGTTGTCGTTGTCGTTGTCGTTGTCGTTGTCGTTGTCGTTGTCGTTGTCGTTGTCGTTGTCGTTGTGGTTGTTGCTGTTGCTGTTGCTGTTGCTGTTGCTGTTGCTGTTGCTGTTGCTGTTGCTGTTGCTGTTGCTGTTGCTGTTGCTGTTGCTGTTGCTGTTGCTGTTGCTGTTGCTGTTGCTGTTGCTGTTGCTGTTGCTGTTGCTGTTGCTGTTGCTGCTGCTGCTGCTGCTGCTGCTGCTGCTGCTGCTGCTGCTGCTGCTGCTGCTGCTGCTGCTGCTGCTGCTGCTGCTGCTGCTGCTGCTGCTGCTGCTGCTGCTGCTGCTGCTGCTGCTGCTGCTGCTGCTGCTGCTGCTGCTGCTGCTGCTGCTGCTGCTGCTGCTGCTGCTGCTGCTGCTGCTGCTGCTGCTGCTGCTGCTGCTGCTGCTGCTGCTGCTGCTGCTGCTGCTGCTGCTGCTGCTGCTGCTGCTGCTGCTGCTGCTGCTGCTGCTGCTGCTGCTGCTGCTGCTGCTGCTGCCTCTCATTCTGGCATGTGAATGTGGGTGGCCCCACTGGCCAGGCATGTGTGACCAGCTTCTGTCACGGTTCCTGAGCACGAAGTTCTGGAGCCCTGGCTATTTTGCTTTGTGATGTTCTTCTGTCCTTCCATATTCGCCTTTATGTTAGTGGGCCCAGTTCCCGTTTACAACCAAACAACCGTTACTTGTGACAACATGTGCCAATGCACGGAGAAGTGAGATGAGCTCGATGAGCCACACATGCCCGCACTACATACACCATGACATAGTACAGGTAACATGATCGAGTCGAGGACCTGGATGGAATGATTATGTACCTCCGGGGGGGGGGGGGGCGGGGAAGGGGGAAGCATGGGGTACATAAAATAATTTTATGGAATGATTGTACAATACTGCTGTACTCGTACAGTATGCAGGTACATGTGGACCTGGCCCTGGCCGGCCTGGGTGTGCCTACTATGCACTCTGCATGCAGCGTGAGCTAGCTCAGCCTACATACAGCTGCATATCGGTCGGGAACGACGCGCCGCGTCACTGACACCTTAGTGACGTCACCAGGTCATCGATATGATGGGCGATATGCATGATTGTACATGCACACCTGGAGCTGCTGGTATGCAGGCGACAGTGCAAGTGCGAAGCCAACCGGCTTGTTCAAGCCTCGGCTTTGCTGGCATCCTGCATCACCCGTGCAAAGCCGCTTTTTGAGATGTTTGTGGCAATGATTTGATCGTCTTCGTGTACGCCTGACTTCATCCGTGACCGGGATCACCTATTTTGCAAGCCAGAGATTGATTGGGAATCTTGTCTTCCCTTGCTCCAGTACAGTATCTGTTTTCAGTTGTGGATGTGTGGTGTGGCGGTTTGGTTACAACAGCTGTGGACAATGTAATTCAAAGTTGAATAAAAAAATACTAAAATTTATGCCACGCGGCAGGCTCGAGGACGACTGTTGTTGTTAGTTTGCTGCTGTGATCCCTGGCTCGTGGTACTGCAGTGAGTTTGCTGTGACTGGCTCTGTGCTGACTGCAATTGTCTGAAGTGCTAGTTTTGGAGTAGCAGCTGAAAGAAAGTACCTGTAGCCATGGCCGTCGTGGGTTTGACGTGCGGCGAGATCTGTCGTGTGTTTTGTTGCCCGCCATGTCCGTCCGCCATCGCCGCCAAACTGGCCTTCATTCCGCCCGAGCCGACCACCTACACCATCTCCAGAGACGAAGATGACAAAGAGAATTTGCACTTGACGGAGAGAGCGGAATTTCTCTTTACCAACCGCGAGCTGAGCACGATCGAGGCGATGAAGGTTCGAACGAGTCGACGTAACATGATTGCCTGTATGTATGTGAAGCTGACGGACACGCCGAAGTACACGCTGCTATTCTCGCACGGCAATGCTGTGGACCTGGGTCAGATGTCGAGCTATTACGTAGGCCTGGGTACGAGGCTAGGTTGCAACGTATTTGGATATGATTACTCCGGTTATGGCGACAGCACGGGAAGTCCCAGTGAGGCGAACATCTACGCGGACGCCGAAGCTGCTTGGAACACTATGGTGGATCGACTGGGCATTGATCCCAGTAAGATCATTATCTACGGACAGAGTATAGGGTCGGTGGCGTCGGTTGACCTGGCAACTCGGCATGCATGTGCTGGTGTGGTACTGCACTCCCCACTGCTCAGCGGCATGCGTGTGGCCTTTCCCGACGTGCAGCGCTCGTATTTCTTCGACCCGTTTCCAAGGTGAGCAGCCTATACACATGACATGGGCGTAGCTGGTCCCCGTTTTAGGGGGGGGGGGGGGGGTGGGGGGTGCACGGCCGCATATGTGTAGGATGGTTGGTACATGTCATTCATGGTCATGATATGCATGCTGGACCTAGGTCGACACTCTTAGGGGGGGGGGGGGGGGTACATGTGCCCCATGATGCGGGCTACGCGCCTGACATGATCACATTGTCTCATGATCCAATTTTGTATATTGTGCCATGGGAGGGGGCAACGGTACTTTACGAGTAGAGTCATGGTACTGTGCGTGTACACTGCTGTGTGCTATGTTCATTGATAATTACTATGCCTGTGCTCTGCACACACACTGTTGTCCTTAGCCAGTTCTGTCTGAACGTTGCTGTCTGTGCTTTTGTCTGTTTGTCCATGTGTATGTGTGCAGCATCAGAAAGATCACGCACGTCCAATCCGTGGTGCTGGTCATACACGGCACGGAGGACGAGGTGATCGACTTCTCTCACGGCCTGGCGCTGTTTGAACGCGCACCGCTCACCGTTGATCCACTCTGGGTGGAGGGCGCCGGTCACAACGACATCGAGAGGTTCTCGTCCTACCTGCTACGCCTGCTCAAGTTTGTCAACAAGGAGCTGCCGTCGCGCGAGGCGGCGCAAGCTGAGAAAGCTGCGACGGAAGCGGCGACGGCAGCAGCAGTGGCAGCCGTGTCCAACGGTGTCGGTACAAACCGTAGCGCCGTGGGAGCTGATGGTGTTATGGCGCTGGCACGAATGGACGATGATGATGATGATGATAATGACAATGGCGACACCGCCACAGGGTCGTCGGAGGGTCGCGACGAAATCGCCGCCATTAGCACCACAACAACAACGGCTGCTGTTACTGACACGGCCGCTGGAGACGGGTCGTCCACGCACGATGATGTCAATTGTGAACTCACGTCGTCGTCGACGGATAGACTGATGGCGGACGTGAGCACACCGGAGGTTGCCAAGCGTTCAACAGCAGGCTCACCGCAGCGGACACTCTCATCCTCCGACAACAAGCCTGACGGCAACAACACGTTAGATGTGTCCACGTCCACAGGCACCGTCACCAGCGCCGTCACCATCGCCAAGGTTCTCTCCGCGTCCGAACAGTCATTACCGCTGTCTACAGACTGTGCAGATCGGGCACCCAGCGCCAGCCCGGAGCCACCCAGTGTCACTGCTGCTTTGGATGTTGCCATGGGAGCAACACCGGCGGTGGATGACGTCATCATCACCACAGCAACCAAAGTCGAGCCTGTGGATGGCAGGAATCTAGTGTACGTGTAGTGGCATGAGGATTCGCGCTGCAGCAGCAACAACAGCAGCAGCTGTATGCAGAACCCAAGCATGCTCACCCTGCGCCATACACTTCGAGCGAGCAGAGCGTGTAGTACTGTGATTTCTGCCAGCAGCGGCAACGGCTATATGCAGCACTCAAGCATGCTCAGTATGCGTTATAGACTTGAAGTGAGCAGTGTTCGCCCCTCGGCCGGTTTGTGAGTCGATGAACGTGCACACTGGTATTCCATTCGTGGATCTGCTGTACCTCAGCCACAGGTAACCATGCCGTGTGATAGCTTGGATGTCTGCATATGCACACTCGCGCATGCGCACACACACACACACACACACACACACACACACAAACCCACACGCCCATGCAAGGTTACGGCATGCCCGATATCTGGCACAGTGCATACTTCCGTGTGTATATTATTACCATGCAAGTCCAAGAAGTGTCCCATATCACCGTGCTTAGCAACACATGGCCACCATCATGTTTTCCTCCGGCCTATAAAACTGTTTTCGAACGTCACAAACAAGAGAGGTCTAACAACATCGCGGGGGCCAGCCGCTCCCGAGTACTCTCTCTCTCTCTCACACACGTCTTCACTAGTTCTGTAGTCGTCCCTGCATGCCATGCCCGCCAATAGCATGAGTATATAATGAGATCATTGTACGCATGTGAACGTAGCTACTGAAACCTGCCTCTAGGTGTCCGCCATTGCCAATTAGAAATTATTTAACTCCTGATTTTTTTCCGGTTATCAAACTTTTCCTGCAATGAACCTTGCATACCCCCCCGCATGTCCCTCAGATCTAGCTGTTCCACCCATCCGTCTCGATTACGTTTGTATGAGGCCACTTCATGTAATATATATATATTAAAATATATTCGTAGTCGCCACTGCCAATATACACCAGTGCTTCTTTTTTTAATCATTTGAGTTGTTCTGTAGGTTTTTGAGGCCTTTAGATGCTTTTCTTTTTGTTCGCTGCAGTGCCTGTACCGTATCACCCCTACGTGTGTTTATTCCAGTGTGTACCTAACCCCGACGGTTTCGCTTGCCAGAACTCTGCCGTCGATTTCTATGTGTCCAGCGTCTTTCGGTGGTTTCTGATCACCTCATGTGTGTTTTTATCCGTAAGCTCAGCCAGGAGTCTACCTCGGCTAGCCATCTGGCTTTTCGTTCTTTTTCTGCTTTTTTTTTACTATTTCCAACTATTCCCTCCTGTGTGGTCTACTCGCTTTCGTATGTTTTTTCTCTCTCATTTTCTAGCTTTGTTAGTGCTGTTCTGTTTCATAACCCGCTTTGCTTTGTCTGTGTCGATGTCCACTTTGCTACCTCTCCTGGCCACTCTAGCTGCAAGCTCGTGCATGCCATTCTGGTGTGCTTACTCTATTTACAAACATGTCAATGTCAGTGATGGTTTCTACTCCTCTCTCCTTGCCGCTTTGAGACAATGCTATGATAATAGTGTGTGTCTTGAAGCCTATGCATACATCATGGCGTCTAGTCACCACCCTTTGACTTGGCCCCTCGTGTGCTTTGGCGAGTCGCTAGTGGTTCTCTGTCTCTCTCTGTCTCTCTCCAGGATGGATAGTTGCGTTACACAGGGCCACAGGAGTGGAATACAGGGCCCCTGCTTTCTTTGCACTCTGAGGTAGCCATAGCGTTGTGTAACAATATTCTGTGCAGGTGCAGGCACACATCATCAATCATGCAATGTCACCTTTGTCATCGCAGCTGTTTATTTAGATGCTACGCTTTGCCATGGGCTGGACTTCACGGAGGTTGTTAGGCACTTGTTACAAGGATTTACCAGGGAGTCGTAAAATGCAGCTGCACTTTGACGACTCCCAGCTTATAACTACTGCCAGTTGTGCACCGTGTGTGGTACTGTGTGCCGCTTGTAGGCTTTGTATTGTACTAGTATCCAGTTTTAAAAGTAATGTTTGCACGTCCGGGTTACAACCGACTGCACAATTGTGTTGAGAAACACAACAAGCTTCGGAAGTTTTAAAGTGTAACAGTCGCGTAAGCCATGCTGAATAACAAGACAGGTTGCCGGTCATGACAGTCAGGGATATTGCTTTCCAAGTTTCCATGCAATGACTGTGTCCTCTTCCCTAGCTTGTGCTGTGCTGTTAACAAAAGCATGCTGTTGTAGTGTGGAGTACGAATGCTGCATGATTGCACAGTACCAAGAGTAGATAAACAAGAGTGTGCAACTCCGGGATGGGTTGGCCTGTGGCGGAATTTTTTGTTGACGTAATCTTTTCGACGATGCACGCGCTGCGAGTCTTTTGGAAAGTTTTGCCTCGTGCACTTTGCCGGGCTTTACATTACAAAGTCGGTGCCCAGCACGTGCTCTCACACTGCTCTGGGGCAAAATGCGCGTTCTTCTGAAAAAAGGTGACGTCAACAAAAAATTCCGCGGGGGGTATCTGCAGATTGTGCAGGAGAGATCCGGAGTTGCACACTCTTGTTTATCTACTGTTGACAGTACTGATAATGATCATGATAATGTTATTGACACAGTATGGGATAATAAACTGAAATAAGACCGAGCTGAAGGCGATGAGACAATATATTGCATGATTGCTCAGTACATGGCAATGCATGCTGTTTAAGATTGCACAGTCCAGTGCTGCATGCATGCTGCATGATTGCACATTACAGGCGTACAGTGCTGTGCAACACAGGTCCTAGGGAGACTGGGGTGACAGCTGTGTCAATGGCTTGTGGAGACCTGGGGAGGTTGTGGAGACCTCGTTCTTGAAAATACAGATGATACACAACATAACCTGTGCTGCTCTGGTCCGCTGCTATGATGACGATGTGTAACCGCTCTCTTCACTCTTTTGAGCTTGTCATACGGTCACGTGTTGGCAGCACTATCACTTGTACTAAAACTACCCGTCTGTGAAACATTGGTATGGCTCGTACAGTGCCACCAAGAGTACATTTTCAACTCTAGTTTACTCTTCTCATCTACTCTTGTTATACTGTTGTGGGCATGGAAATCCGGTCGCACGCCTAGCGGCCCCAGGGTGCTGGTCATGCAGCCGTGGATAAGTGGTACACGCATGCATTTTATGCGCTGCAGTGCGCTAGTCGCATCGGATCAACATGTGCCCTGCACGCAGCGTTCTGTATGCGCTGACGGCGCCGGCCCCGGTCAATCGACCGGATTTCCATGTCCACGACAGTAGCACTGATATAAGTACTAGTACAATGCAACATGGAATCGTAAAAATATGACTCCCTGGCTTATTTTAAGAGGTCCCATAATGTGGCCAGTCTGCAATGTCCAGCTAGCTGTTAGGCGTCCATGTTGGAACCGATAAGAGTTGATCAGACCTGAGTGTAGAATGAAGTTGAAGACACCACTGCAGCTGTACTTATGGTTGATAAATATGGTGGTAAAGACACACCTGGCAATATGGCGGTAAACACACGCCTGCCCACATACGCCCTCTAGGCTGCAAAGTTCTGGCACAGAGCTCTCCTTCTCACCACCACCACCACCATCAGTTCGCGTCTGGCGCCTGCTCGATGCATGGTTGGCGGTATCCGGCATAGCAGGCTGGTACATCAAGTAGTGCATGGCACATAGCAGATGACACAGCAACGACATAGCTCGATTGCGACGTACGTTTCGTCCCCGCTGGACTCATCAGGCAATCTTCTTCTTGGGTGTCTTCACACGGAGCTTGACTCAGGAGAATGAAGTTGAAGACACCACTGCAGCTGTCAAGCTCCGTGTGAAGACACCCAAGAAGAAGATTGCCTGATGAGTCCAGCGGGGACGAAACGTACGTCGCAATCGAGCTATGTCGTTGCTGTGTCATCTGCTATGTGCCATGCACTACTTGATGTACCAGCCTGCTATGCCGGATACCGCCAACCATGCATCGACCAGGCGCCAGGCGCGAACTGATGGTGGTGGTGGTGAGAAGGAGAGCTCTGTGCCAGAACTTTGCAGCCTAGAGAGCGTGTGTGGGCAGGCGTGTGTTTACCGCCATATTGCCAGGTGTGTCTTTACCACCATATTTATCAACCAGACCTGAGTGTGTGGGACTTATTCCAGTAAGATGTTCGCCCTATCCCTGCTCACGTGTCGCTACATGCTTGGACAGATTGCCCATTCAATTAATTTATAATTTGTCAGTTCAACGAAAGTATCAAAAATAGTGATATCAGGAGATTAGGCATAGGAAATTCATCAACATTTGTCATACATGTGTCAGCAATTAATCAGTACGGTCTGGCTATAGAATACATTTTTTGTGACAACAGTAGCTTCTGTGCTCATTAAAACTATTGTTCACTCTCTCGTCATACTAAACTTTGAAGCGCATTCAAATCTACCGGTGCAGCCAGCACTGATCAAGTATAGACACCAACTAATAATCATGTATCACTCTAACAGTTTGTCGGCAATCTAAAGTCAGTGCTGGCAAAGCAACATCACACCAGCTGTATGTTATGCCAGTGTTATTAAAGGGTCAAAATAGAAATGTTCTCAACGTAGTGGTCAATGGATAGAAAATCTAGGAAGATGTTTGCCAGGAATTGACGACGACAATGTCCGCCGGCAGTTATCTTGCTTCTACTGCTGCTAGTGTATGTGCTTAATGATGTCATCAATTACATCCTGGCAACGGCACAATTACTGCACACCACAGCAATTGTACTGTGCTGTAATGTGCGTCAGTCAGTGCCACGGTCTCCATGACACATTCCATGGCGACGGTTTTCAGCAATGACGTAATCTATTACATCATGGATTACATCATGGTGAAAGTCTACCCTACTGGCATGCGGCATGTCATGACTTCACTGAGTCTGTCCTTGGTGGCACATTGACACACGCACACACTAGTAGGAACATGACTGCGCATGCAGTACTGAAACCGTCAGCCTGTGTATGCACAGGCATCATGTATGATGGTGATTACATCATCAATGAAACCATGACATCATCACATAGAAGTGTATGACATCATGGCACTAAGCTAAAACGGTAACTATGGTTATAGTCTAGGATTGCCTACCATGCACTGTACTTGTAGCAACGGTGTATTGACAGACCCGTCGGAACCGGTCCGGTTGGTCAGGTTGACACCGGACCAACTTTTCAGCCACCAACATGTGTTTCCTACTGTGGAGGGATATGATGTGTACTAGTACACGTCATGTCATACACACAGTATTAACGGCCAGAGGGCATGTGTACTAGTACACGGCATGTCATACACAGTATGAACGGCCAGAGGGCATGTGCACCCGCCATATCATACACAGAGTATGAACGGCCACGACAAAACCGGACCAATCACAAACTGCTTCCGGCGGTCGTGATCGAAAGTGTGTGAGCTACACCAGAGTGGCAGGGACAGCATGCTGGAACTGCTCCCTGGCTGGTTCCATGGGTAGGTTGCTACGATGTACTTTACCCGTATCCGGTCTGTCTCTATGACGACCTGACTGAGGGCGATGACTCTGACGTGTGAAGCTTTCGGCGACGATATCCGGATGACCGGGCTCATCTTGATCCTTCCAGTGAGATTTGGACAGCTGGAGGAGAGAAAGAGAGAGAGACAGAGAGAGTCGGACAGAGAGAGAAACGCCAATGCATACCTGTCAACCATTCCAGTCTGGCCAGGACCGTCCCAATATCGAAGTGGGACTACGACGTCCCACCCGATGACCCAAACTGGCAGTGTGCGATAGGCTGCATTTAGCAAGGAGAGAGGCACCCCAAACTGCACTTCTCTCATCCCTGAGCTACATAATACAGTCATGCTCAGACCCAGGTAGCTCATTGTCCCGATCTCAGGTCTTCAAAGGTTGGCAGGTATGTCAATGAATGAACAGACACACAGACATGGGAATGAGCAGATAGAGCACCTGTTGACTCACTGGCTAGCAGAACAATGAGCACAGAGACGAATACTAGCAGATAAAAAGATAGAAAACAGATACTAGTAACCACACTACTCATCACGCCGACTGGCTGACGGGTGGACATGCTGATGAACGCTATTATGCTCAGCTGATGAATAGGTCGGCACTATAGCCAGTATAGGGGTTATACGGATGCCGTCGTGGAGGTTAGTCACTGGAACTGCTCACGGGCGCTGTGTAGATCTTTCCATTTTTCACCCTCTAACAGTTATACAATTTACCCCCGCCCCCCCCCCCCCCCCGACCCCCTGTGTCTACTCCTCCCCCCCCCCCCCCGACCCCCTGTGTCTACTCCTCCCCCCGACCCCCTGTGTCTACTCCTCCCCTCCTCCCCCCTGTGTCTACTCCTCCCCCGACCCCCTGTGTCTACTCCTCCCCCGACCCCCTGTGTCTACTCCTCCCCCCCCCCCGACCCCCTGTGTCTACTCCTCCCCCCGACCCCCTGTGTCTACTCCTCCCCCCGACCCCCTGTGTCTACTCCTCCCCCCCCCCCCCCCCCGACCGCCTGTGTCTACTCCTCCCCCCGACCGCCTGTGTCTACTCCTCCCCCGACCCCCTGTGTCTACTCCTCCCCCCGACCCCCTGTGTCTACTCCTCCCCCCCCCCCCCCGGCCCCCTGTGTCTACTCCTCCCCCCGACCCCCTGTGTCTACTCCTCCCCCCCCCCCGACCCCTGTGTCTACTCCTCCCCCCTCCCCGACCCCCTGTGTCTACTCCTCCCCCCCCTCCCCGACCCCCTGTGTCTACTCCTCCCCATTTTTTGCTGCTCTGAAGTGTCACTGGAGCCGAGACCTTAGGTCGGCGGAGATGTTCCAGTTTCACCACCATAGTTGCGACTGCAGCCACCTCTATCATGCAGTATTCTGTTCTCGAGGTTCTTGGTTTCTCGCAAAAAAATACAGTGGAACTGCTTACTCGCGCTATGTATGCAGCGAAACCGCTTACGGGCGCTAAGTAGTGTATGCAACATGAGTCGCTAGTGCAGCGCTGTGCCGCGACTTCACCACAGCATCTCAAATGATTATGTAGTCGCATATCCTCAGTAGACTAATGGGTAGGTGGGCGAAATAAAACTTTGAAAGATTAATGGAGAGAAAATCATTGTATCTTTCCCTCAAACCTGTGAATAATCATTGTATCTTTCCCTCAAACCTGTGAATAATCATTTGTAGCTGAATTAACTGAGATATTACGGAGTTCCTTTCCAGTTTGCTAGAGTGTTCATGACAACTGACCGAGTCGCCTAGCAACAGTGGAGTCGCTCGTCCGAGAATGTTGTTTCCAAGGGGTTGGGCCTGGTGCGTTCCTATTTTATTGGGCAATCTGGCTGCGTTCTTATAGCACATTCTTAGAAACAATTCGTACTGGATCATATCTACCCCCAAAAGCTGCCGGAAAACCAACACCGCCGTTCTTAACTAGGGTTCCCAGTAAAAAGGCAGTAGCCTGTTGGGACTCCCCTAGTAAAATAATAAAAACTACTACTACTACTACTACTACTACTACTACTACTACTACTACTACTCAACTTTGGGCTGTGGCATTCTTAGCATTTCAGGTTGGACATTCTTGGGCGCACAACTGACTCTACTGCACAGTGCAGCCATAGACCCTAGACCCTAGACTCTACCCATACATCGTACAGTGGAAGACTGCGGATAGAGTGGACACACTTGCTGTGACCTAGCAAAGCACAAGAACATTGGCAATCACATACACATACCCCTGTGTAGGTTTCTTCGTTCAGTTTCATACGCTGTGACGCCGGCTCTGGAAAGTCATATCGCGTGACGCTATGGCCATGATCTACACATTGAAATACAAAAAACATGCATGGGCACGTATACATATGCACACTCAGAATCAGGCTCAGACTCACGACATGGCCATCGCGGAAGCGATGATAGCGACCAGCTATGTTAGACATAGCAACTTGTGCCGGGATTACACCATTCAACAGCTTGCAAAGCTGATGAAATAACCGCCACCAATTTTAGCCTGGTATCCACCACACAGCTGATTGAAGTGACTTTTTCTGGCCAGCGAATCCCTATTTTTCCTTTTTTCCTTTTTTTCCTTTTTTTCTCTTTCGACACACACACCACACCACATACTCCGGCATACACGGGCTGTTGGTAACCACCCAGGAGAATGAAAGAAGAGCTAGGAGAATGAGAAAGAGAAGAAAGACGTGTGCGACCATAATCGTCGGGGGAATTGAACCCGCAACCTCTGGATTGGAAATCGACTGCAATACCACTGCACCACATGGGACGCAATACTGTAGAACACATCATTTTCAGTATACCGTATTTTACCGGTTGTAAGCCGACCCCCGTATCCTGAGGTCTCAATTCTGTGTTTTAAAGGGGCACTCCGGGAATATTTTCGGTGGTGTGTTCTCTTCATGGGGGCCTTATATGGCCCCCAACGAATGGGGAATCGCGAAAACTAGGCCCAAAAAGTCGATATATGAAGCCAGGGAGGGCCAAGTTTGTCTCCTCTTTTGATGGTTTTGATGATGTCACGTGTGATTAGTATTCAAATTCTCTGCATTTGAAGATCTTAGTTGTTTGAATTTTCTGGCGATGAAGAACGATGTTTGGTCGACATTCCCAAGCTTCACAACTGCGGACATGCTCTAAGGAACCTGAAGGACCCCCCTGAGGTGCCCCTGGTAGAAGCGCAGCCTGATGAGGCCAGGAAATTGGAGCGGACGACTTCACTGGTCCGAGTACGAGGATCCCGAAATTCTCTATACGCCGTGAGGCATATGGTCAGAACAGTTTTGTTTAGACAAGCTGACGCGAAGTCGGGGTGATGTGTAACGCATGTCAAAGGGCTGTCAATGCTAACAGCTGCAACGCTCTCTCGACAGCGAAGGTAATCAACTGCCCTCTGCATCACCCCACATTTCTGGCAGGAACACCAATCGTTATTTCCTTGTCGACCAGTGAAGTCGTCCGCTCCAATTTCCTGGTTCTCATCAGGCTGCGCTTCTACCAGGGGCACCTCAGGAGGTCCTTCAGGTTCCTTAGAGTATGGTCGCAGTTGTGAAGCTTGGGAATGTTGACCAAACATCGTTCTTCATCACCAGAAAATTCAAACAACTAAGATCTTCAAATGCAGAGAATTTGAATACTTATCACACGTGACGTCATCAAAACCATCAAAAGAGGAGACAAACTTGGCCCTCCCTAGCTTCAGACTTTTTGGGCCTAGTTTTCGCGATTCCCCATTCCTTGGGGGCCATATAAGGCCCCCCATGAAGAGAACACACCACCGAAAATATTCCCGGAGTGCCCCTTTAAAGTTTTCACCCAAAGAAGCACTACTTACCACTCCCTGCTACTAACACAACAACAAATCATGTAAACATTCCTTCAATTGATTGGAGGGTATAACGTCCCAATCCTTGTAAAAGACCAATAAACTGGCAAAATGTGTACACATGGTGCACTCGTGCATGCAGTACAGGTCATTTTTTGTAAGGTACTGATAGTTCCCGGTTATAAGTTGAATCCCGGTTGTAAGTCGACCCCCACACTTTCTATAACCTACGAGGAGACAATAGTCGTAAAACGGCAATGAATAAAACTAATTGTGCACTCATGAGTCATAACCATGTACATGTAGAAAACAATAAGTATTACTAAATGAAAAATTTCCAGAACGTTTTCTCGTGACTATCATCAGTGGAACATGGTCACATGGTAAAAATCACTAAAACAACCAGTTATATAGCTAGAATAATATTCACAAAATAGCAGCTCGCGGTTACACATAGCGTCAATTACACCAGCAGTGTGAGTTTATGCGTTACAATGTTAATGTGAAAATTGTAGAGGTAAATGAATGAGGCAGCTATGTCACATGTGTGCGTGTGTGGACGGACGGTGCTGGTGTAATTGACGCTATGTGTAACCGCGAGCTGCTATTTTGTGAATATTATTCTAGCTATATAACTGGTTGTTTTAGTGATTTTTTACCATGTGACCATGTTCCACTGATGATAGTCACGAGAAAACGTTATGGAATTTTTTTCATTTAGTAAAAATTATTGTTTTCTACATGTACATGGGTATGACTCATGAGTGCACAATTAGTTTTATTCATTGCTGTTTTCCCACACTTTCTCCTTCTATTTTTAGTTGTAAAAGGTCGACTTACAACCGGAAAAATACCGTACCTTTAATTTTTCTTCAGACTTTTCCCGTTTGCGTCTTTCCCTCAAACAAGTGAATAAAACTTTAATTTCGGTAATTTCGGTGCAGTGACCAGGTACAGGAGCCTAACGTTGGCTTACATCTAGAGGGCACTACAGTATGCACTGTACACTGTATGTGAAGGGAAAGCTGGTCACCTAATTCTACATTACACCTGAAACCCACCAGGTTCCTGGCACCGAAATCTTAATGATAGCTTGCATAGACCTCGGTCCTACCGGTAGGACCTACCGGTAGGACCATCATACACAGACATGCTGCATGGCCTCTGTTCTAACATTGACCTAAAACTTGACCCTGAACTGTTGCTCAGGGGCTAATGAAGGAGTCCCCAAATTTTAGACGTGATCGCACAAGGCATACTACGAAATTCCATGGTAACAGCCCATGGTAACCATGGAAACGGTGTATGGAATTATGCATTCCACTGCCTTGGCAGACTGATAAAAACATTAGTACCTCACCACGATTGATGTGCCATGGTCAAAATTCACTTTGGACAGAGTTGCTAGCGCTCCGACAGGAGTATGTGCGGCCATTTGACAATTGATAAAATTGCGCGTATGCAATGCACTGGACATAGCCTTGCATTTTGCGCCATTACTTTGCCTGACAAAGACCTCATCTCAACAATTGTTTCAAGAAATTTCTCAACCAAAAGCACTTTTGCAGCGCGATTTCTTGAGTCCTACCGGTAGGACGGCATGCAAGCTATCATGAATACACCTAAAATCTTTTCTAATTGTCCGCAAACTCCAACGCAGTCACTTACACACTTAAAATCAGTGTTTAAATCATCCATGTTCTAGTAAACTCACCGTATCCGTAATCCAGGGGAATGTTGTACGATGGTGGAGGGTCTTCACGACGCTTGCCACGGAAACGGTTAGTGAACTCCGCCGACGAGCTTGTCTCGAACGTGGCAAACTCTGGGTCGGTCGGGAAGACCACGTTGTGAAAGTTGCGAGAGTTGTTGAAAGGAACGTGCTTGACTTTGTACGCCGCCGGGGGCTGTGTGCACATACGCACGCACGCGCGCGCACGCACACACACACACGCACACACATACATACACACACACAGAGACAGGGATTATTGCGTAAGAGAAGGAGCAAAGGGGAAAAGAAAATCACCAAAGACAACATAATATTTTAATATGTTTTGCCTGATGATTGTGCAAGCATGAAACTCTTGAGTTGCAATAAAATTCTGTTCCACACTACTTGTAAGGAATATATAGAAGCAACAGGGGCCTGCCTCCCAATGAAGGTTAGAGACATCAATGGTTGGAGACATCAATGGTTAGAGACATCAATGGTTAGAGACATCAATGTTGCCGCCAAGCTTGGCGTTAAAATTAGAATTTTGACATTTTTTGTTACGAATGGCCTTTACGTCTCTTTTCGCTTGATCCCTAGAAATACGAACTACAGTCAACTTCGCTAATAACGACTGCGGATATAACGACAATTCGCGAATAACGACATCATTTTCATGCCCGGAGCAAAGTCCCATCTAACTGTGACACATATAATGAGACTTCGGATATAACGACACTTCGCGAATAAGGACACTTTTCTGATGCCCCGCCGAGTGTCGTTATAAGCGAAGTTGACTGTACACGTTGTAGCAGTTAAGTTTGCAGATCCTGTGGCATATGTGGGCTAGAATATGAACAGAGTGTGTATCTAGCCAATGTGTAGCCTCAAACCGATCGCTCCACGCGCTCATTCTACTGCAAGCCAGCATGACGTGGAAGTACAATGCCGGTATGAATAGCAAGTCGCAAACGTGGAAGTTTCGAGTACCATTTGCCCTCCTCCTCACACAAGCCAGGGCTTAGACTTTGAGTGATGATGCCAGCAACCTACTTCAGTACTATCATACCTTTCAGAAAATATTATAAATATAGTTTTGTATTTAAGAATATCAATGAGTCCAAAGTCGTGATCGATTTTCCACGGTCCACTCAAACACCGGATTTTTGGCCGAGGCAAGTGAAAGCCCAAAGGAAAGCAAGTGAAAGCCCAAAGGAAAGCAAGTGAAAGCCCAAAGGAAAGCAAGTGAAAGCCCAAAGGAAAGCAAGTGAAAGCCCAAAGGAAAGCAAGTGAAAGCCCAAAGGAAAGCAAGTGAAAGCCCAAAGGGTTAATCATACGACATAATCTGAATGCCATGACATCACATGATGACATCACCC